ATAATCAGTCACAAGAACATCGAATCTGAATCACTTGACAAAAAACACGGGGGTGCTTAACTTTTTTCCAGGTGTATAGTATGTCAAACATACCCACCAGTTTTATAATGGACAATAAGTATATGTATGTGTGTGTGTGTGTGTGAATCTCATAATATCATTATATCTAAGAATATATATATATATAATGCTGTTTTAATTATGTGCATCAGCTATAGATAAAATTTGAATGGGCACCAGAGTTCCTGGTCAAGTTAAAGCAGACATATAGAAGTTCACTGATGACACTACATCCATGACAAAACACACACCATATACAAAGATATTAAAGTTTTCAAATCATAATCCTGGAGTTTTTCTTGTGTCATGTTTTAAAATAAATTCTCTGTACTTGCATACTTACAGATTATGAATAAATCAAATAATATATATAATGCTCTGCTGTGTATATGCATCATGGTCAAGGCAAGTTAGACACACTGATGACAGCACATTTATGACAAAACACTGACACACACACCACATAAGAAGCTTGGTATGTATTAGTTTTCAAATCAAAATTCTAGAGCTTAGCACATGATTCTTTGGACTTAGGCCTATAGAATGTCTTCAGAATATATTTGAATATTTATGAAAATTAATGTTTCCTTTTCTAAAGAAAGTTTTCAATAAATATTTTTATGTGATCAGCAGTCCTCTGTCTTTAAGATTTAATGCATTAGATCTAAATCAATGAATTAAACCTAAATGACTTGCAAGTTACTGCTAAAGATTATTATCACTGCAGTAAGATAAGGGATGTATGGAAGAATATACTGATATAGAAAGAATGAGTATGTAAATCTCTGCATCCTTGTTGAGCTGGTGATTTGTGTTGGTATTAGCAACAGAGCATTGACTGCATCAACTACCTTACTAGATTTCTGACAGACTGTTGTCTGCAGTTGAACTATGCAACAATGGAAAATCTGCTCATCAAAAGAACTAACTTCCATGTTTTCAAGAAAAAGGAGAGATAGAGGATCTCATTATGAATCCAATAGATTCCAAGATGAAAAAAAGAGGCAAAAGCTTAAAGTCACCACTGCACCAACAAAGCAACCCTCAGCTGCCAAGTCTCCTCCTAGCTCACCACTTAGAAAGTCGAGGTTTGTTCAATCTGTTTCCAAGTCTGACTATCCGGACAGCTCGTTGAGTTCAGAGAGTAACAGTGAAGACTTGCCTAATTTTGGCAATTGAAACAAATAGAGATTTGTAGTCTGTGTTTTGCTATAATGTTTTTGCATTAAGCTGAACATCTATGTCACAAGTTACTAAAAACTTATTCAATGCATGTATTATCAATAAAAGCAATAAAACTTTGAAAGGTTTCAAACTTTATACATTTTTTTTAGGTTTTACTGTGATAACTGGTTATTCTTTAAATATTATATTCAACATTTATAACTTGAATCTCATTTGACAGTTATTCCAATATGAAAGTAATACTATAACATCTAATCAAAAAGATTGACAAAGATCATAAAGCATGGATACTAAGATAGCAACAGGACTATGAATATTATGTCAGGCTCTTTTTATTCTCAACCTTTTGACTACAAGTTTTCTTCAGGAGATTATGACACCATGATGCCTTACAAAGGTATTTATATAGGTTTTCTTGGATTATGTTCCTTGTCACTTCTTCTTGCCGCACCCTGATTGGTCCATTATCGCCGTTTGTTGACCACCACCTGACCAATCAGCATTCTTCTCTTGTTTCACCAGGCTTTCTGCTGCTTCCACCTATTTGTAGACTCCCGCTGTGATGTTGAAGTTTTTTTCTAGTAAGATGTAAGCAGCCTCAATTGCTTTTATCTGTTGTTTTTCCATTCCTTTGCTGATGACTTTAGCTTCCTTCTACTTGGGTAAGTGCCCTGTTTCCTCTGCATGTGCTGCTATCACATTTGTTGTGTTATGTCTTTTGAGACCTGCTTTGTGTTCATTTAGTCTTGTTGTCAGGCTCCTGCTGGTTTCCCCTATGTAGACTTTACTGCACCCCCCCACACATGGAATGCAGTATACTATGCTGCTGTCTGTTGTGTGTTTCTGTCTTCTGTCCTTTACCATCTCTCCTATTTTTATTCCTGTTTTCATTACCACCTCTGTGGTTGTGTGTTTCAATAGTCTGTTGATGGGACTTGCATCCCAGGCACTGGGGATCTCTATGAAATTTTTGTTTTTCTCCTCCTTTCTGTTGTCATTGTTCCTGTCCATGATGTTCCTCACTTTCTGCTTTGAGCTTTATAAGCATGCCTGTAGGGTATTGCAGTTTTCTGATTGGTTGGGTGGTGGTTGACAGACAGCAATAGTGGACCAGTCAAGGTGCAGCAAGAAGTGACCAGGAACGTAATCTGGGAAAACCTCTATAAATACCTTTGTAAGGCACTACAGTTTCATAATATTCTGAATAAAAAGATCCTGACACAGCATTCATAGTCTCATTGCTACCTTAGCATTCATTTGTCAACATGAATAATAATCATTAAGCATCTAGTGATTAAATATATTTACTTAAAAGAGAATAACCTCTGGCATTCAACTTTATCATCTATCAGTTGAATTTTAAAATTACCCCAAGGAGAGACTAGGAGCTTGATTGATCCTACTGTTTTCAAACCTGAGCCACTTATTCTTGTAACATTGTTGAACACTAACCCCCATTTTTTGTTGCTCATATAAATTTTTGTAAAAAGTAACTTTTTCATTTTTGTATATTCTTCTGTAAGAAATATTTTTAGAATGTTTAATAAAGTATAGATAGTATTTTTTGTTTTATGCTTGGAAGGTGAAATAATTTTCTGATCCCATGTTCAGGAAATGATTTTACTGACATAAAATTTTCAAATTCCTTTTTATGAGGTGCCCACAAAAAAAGGGCAACTTGCAATGCTTTCTGACAAAAATCATTGAATTGTAGCAACAAAGAATATTTTTCCCAGTTTATGTTACTCTGTGATTTCTATATGAATTACAGATCATCGTTTGTAATATTAAAAATTTTTGTGAGTGGTGTCAGTTTGCCTGAAGTATTAGCATGTTTATAATTGACATTTACCTGCTGTTGTTTTAAAGGCATTAAGTAAGTTTGATCATTTTTTTATAAACTGTCATGTTTCATTTATTTTATAATCCTCACTAATGTTATCTTTGATAATTATTCCATACTGCAATGATTAAAAGAATACAATGAAAATGATTGTCTCTTTATATTTATTGATTTCCAATTGAAGTTAGTATAAGGGTTATAATAATAAGGCACACATTTTATATTCTCAGACCCAAATCATTGATCTGTGAAGGAGAAGTGCATGCACAAAGTGAGAAGGTCACAGAGATACCAGAGGAAGTGGAGTTGATGACATTAAGGTAAGAATGGTTGACTGAATTTTCATTCCTTTTTGAAATATTATGCTTCATATATTCTCTGTTTCTTCATTTTACCTCATAAATTATATGTCAACTCTTTCACATTTATTTATACTGTACAGTTTCTAACAGATAAAATCCTGCAATACAGTGAATGCAAAAAACAACAACAAAACACTGTCACATAAGATGTTAGGTAAAAAAATGGCTGAGTAGGAACACTGATATATAAGCATACCCATGAAATTATCAAGTATCAATGTGATCATTGTACAGTAGCTAAGTATTTGCAACACCCAAAGGATGCTGATGCAGGCATAAAGTGTAATTTCTTTACATTTAGGCTATTTTTACAATTTATCCAGAGTAAACCTGTGTGTTGAGTGAGATTGTTAAATTCCCTTACAAAAGGAGCTAATTAAGTGTTTGTAGATCAAACAGTTGTTTGCTTCAAGGAGTAGAATCACTGCTAGACAGACATGTCATGACTGCAATTGAATCAGATGCTGATCATTCTGATGCCAGTGACATTGTCTGCACACAAATACAGGCCAAGCTTCCTAAACCAAGGTTGTATTATTAAATGTCTTGTGTGTACTTATTTCTAGCCAGCATTGCTTTTATACTTTTATAAAGATAAAATTTTAAAAACAAATAGTATTAGCACATTTTTGAGAACACAAATTTTTACAATAGCTTGTTTTAAAACCCTTTGCTTATATAAAAATAGATTGATGTATTTTGTCTCTACAACTGCTGTACAGTTTGCTAAATTTTATTACAATAAACGTTGTCTCTGCTCCAAGACAGTTTGACTCTTAATATTTAGCTATCAAAATGCATGCCTAAGCCACTCAAGTAGACACAGTGCAATGAACATTAACTATTTCTTTCATCCATTATAGAACAGTAGATCTGTACCTACAATGTCACAATTACATTGAAAGTTGGCTCTTGTTTACAAAAAAACAGATGAGCGAAACTTAAGAAGTTAAAATCTAAATGGAAACTTTCTGTGGTACAAACTTCTGATTAACTATAGTGTTGGATATACAAGATTGTTTAGTTTAATAGTTGTTATTTAGTTTATTTGATGATTCAATATTTAATGATCACTTACTTTTCATAACAAGATAGTTAGAATAATTATTTTAAAGGCGATAGTTATGACAAGTTTGGTTGCATAACTTGGTAAGAGTCGTATGTTGTGTTTGCAGTTATATTGTTGTCTAGGCTTTACTAATAATATTAGCAACACATTACTTGAATCTTTGATATTTTTCTCTATACCTTAACTGAGTATTGTTAAATCATCGCCTCGTGTAGTTGATAGAAAGTTTTAGGCCTCAGTGAACATATTATTGTTATGACAGCAGAAGTGATGCTAGTAACACGTCATGAGATTCTAGAAAGATCATGTCTGTTCGTGGCAATTCTAGTCTTCTCTACACGCCCACTATTTTTTTATATATATAAGCCAGCAAATAAAGTGACGGCATGAAAGATAATTGCAGACAGGCAGATATAGAGACGGACAATTGAGTCAAGCACGGTAGTAAGTAAAGTGCGTGAATCATTGTTGTGAAGTATAGTGTGTGTTTAAGTTAAAGTGACTGTGGAAATGAAGTGTATTGCAAAGTTGATTTGAGAAAGAATAAACTTGTTTTATTTAAGAAAAAACTTGTATCACTAAAGTTTCATCCGAAAGAAATTATAGGGGAAATTAACAAACGAACACAGATGTAACAAATTTGTGTCAGAGAGTGGGATGGAAAAGAAAAAAAAGAAGAAAATGGAAACGAGAAGTGGCAAATCAAACTACAGCTTAGCAGATTTGATGCAGCAATACAAAAACAGCAAAAGAAACAAGAAGAGAGACAACAGCAGTGGCAAGAAAACCTGCAACAGTGGCAGCTCGAACAGCAAAATAAAAAAGAGAGACTACAGCAGTGGTTGGAGGAGAAAGAAAATAAACAAGATAAGTTATTACAGCAGTGGCAACTGGAACAAGAAAGGAAACAAGAAGAAAGTCTCCAACAATTGAGGGAAAGCCAGAGTACACAAATGGAAAACATTAGTAAATTTCAAAGCGAATTAAATACATTAAAGGATGATTTATTGTCTTTTACACAAAGAGGATACATTAACTATCGATTTAATCAGACCCAGACAATGGCAAGTCCCTTCCAGACCCTGCAGCTAAACCCTAATGCAGACATCTTCAGTCCTGTTAGAAGTCGCATCCCAGATATGAATGTCAGCAATAGGGGTGATCTAGTATGAAAGAAGCCACAGGAATTCAATGGGAAGGCATCGTGGGAAGCATATAGAGCACAATTTGGACTCCTGACAGAGATGAATGGATGGATAGAGGAGCAGAAAGCAGTATATCTGGCAAAGAGGTTGAAGGGATAATCACTGGAAATACTTGGACAGTAGTCAGCATATGAC